AGGGAGGGGGGAGCGGGGAGGGAGGGGAAAAATGAGGATCTAATGCACCGGGGGCTTAAGTGGAGAGGAAATGTTTTGAGAATGATGAGGGCAATGAATGTCAAATGCGCTTTACACAATTGATGTGTGTATGGATTGTGATAAGAGTTGTATGAGGTCCTAATAAAATGATTAAAAAGAAAAGGTTCTAAAATTAGTTGTGGTGTTGATTGCACAACTCTTAATATGATTAAACTATTGAATTGCATGATATGTGAATTATATGGTAGTAAATTTAAGCAGACCCTTGGGGGAAGACAGGTGCCATGCCACATGAAGATATCACCATGATGACCAAGCAATAGAGGCTGAAAAGAGACAAGGACCTTTCTTAAGTGCCAACACAGAGAGAAAGCCTTTCCCTAGAACCTGTAACTGGAATTCAGATTTCTAGCCAGCTCAACTGTGAAAAATAACTTTATTACAGAGAAAAAAATCAGTTGGGATTCATTTAACAAAGACACTAAACAGGAAATTAGGAAACAGTATCAATTATAAGAGTCACCCCAAAGATAAAATAATTAGGAATAAATCTAAACAGAGACACAAAAGACTTACACAAAGAAACCTAACAAATGGAACACTTAATATTCTGAATGCCTTAATGCTACCCAAAGCAATCCATAGATATCATCTTCCTGATCCCAGCATCATGCTTTAAAGCTGCGGTTCTCAACCTGTGGGTCGCGACCCCTTTGGGGGTCGAATTACCCTTTCACAGTTGCCAGATTCATAACAGTGGCAAAACTACAGTTATGAAGTAGCAACGAAAATAATTTTATGGTTGGGGTTACCACCACATGACCTGTGTTAAAAGGTCGTGGCATTAGGAAGGTTAAGAACCACTGCTTTAAAGAGATAGAAAAACTAATCACCAACTTCGTATGGAAAACAAAGAGATCTCATATAAGCAAAGCACTACTAAAGAAGAAAAATAAAGTAGGACGCCTCTCATTTCCCAATTTCAAAACCTACTACATAGTAATGGTAGTTAAAACAGCCTGGTACTGGTACAGTGACAGATACAGAAGCCAAGGAGAATTGAGAACCAGTTACAATTAGCTGATCTTTGACAAAGGGCCAAGACACATTAAATGGGGAGTGGTAATTGCTTTAACAAAGGGTACTGGCAAAATCAGATATCCATCTGCAGAAGAATAAAACAGGACTCATAAAAAAAACAAAAAGAACTTAAGTATTCAAGAGAAAGGGCCAATTTTAGACTTGGGTTCATATGATGGTAGAAAACAGCATATGATCCAAAGAGATTCTAAAGACAAGCCAGACTACTATAGAATAAGTGTCTATTGAAAAGGCAGAAAGGACAAATATTTAGAGACTAAGAACACAAATTAATTTCCCAGTCATTTAGATGGGAACAACAGAAGCAAGTTAAATGCATTCCCATCTCCACTTAGGAGCTGTGTACCATCAAGACAGAGTGCATGAAGAGAACCAGGAATATAAAGGATACTTGTTACATACATTTGTCTAAGAAAGAGAAACTGAAAACACCAATAAAGAATGAGATATGGAATATCCTAATACTTTGGAGGAATGTTTTAAAACCTGAGAACGGTTTAGTTTTCATTAAGTCAGCTATGTTTTGTGTAGCTTGCACGATATTAGGAGATAACACTTTAACTTTAATTATGTTTCAACTTCAATATGGCAAATTGGAAAGTAGATGAATGCCTGAGCTAAAAGTAGCAGTTACTGTTTGGATCAATCTTATCTGCCTTCTTTCCTCCAAGGTGAAAAGGAACTACAACTACACAGCAACTTTCCTTCTGAGCTCAGGCACTCACCCACTTTCCAATCGGCCATATGCCTGCTCTCCCTGGCTTATTCTAGCCAGTCACTTGTTTTTGAGCTTGCAGCTACTGCTACAACACAATTGGTGGCTAAAACCCTGGAAGTTTGAGGCAGGGCTTCAAGCCATTCTTCCTAGTTCTGTCATGGCTTTTGAAATGAATTTCCCAAATTTGGAAAATGTAGGTGTACTGGAAAAGTAAACAGAACAGAGAAAATAAGAGATCAATGCCCTGCTTGATATCTGATTTCTTAGAAAATAAAGACAGCACGCATGTTGTACAGCAACCAAATCCCTTAAGCAGCAGAGGTAGAAACGACAGCTCAAAGACGGCAGTGATTACACTGATTTGAATGTGTGGCACACTTCACAGTCCTATTGATAATCCAGTCTTCTCTATCAGACTCCTGAAAGTGCTTACTAAACCTCTTCTGAGTCTCCCATTTCAGGTTTTTTGACTCTTATTTTTTCTCATTCTTGTTATCATTCCAGTACTTCCATATTTTACAAATGTGAATCTATTGATTTTGTTGTGTTGGGCCATGACTGAATTGGTTCTAACTAATTTGAAGCCCTGGTTTGGGGTTATTAAATACTAAAGTATAAAGAGCCATCCCTTAGGCGTATAGTTTTATTCTCATCTAATTTAGACAATTATATTAACTACAGAATTTAGGGCTAATTTCAAATTACATTTAATTCTGTATTTTATTAAGATCTCAACTAGTTGAAATAATCTTATATTTTTCCCAATTAGAAGTCTGCCTTATTTCCCAAGATAGACCTTTTCAATTCTTCCTGCCAGCTTCCTTCCACTCTTCTCCTAAAATGAGCACTGAGCACAGCCTTAGGATCAGACTTTTATACATGAACACACAGGAGAGTTTCCGGTCTGCCATGAAAACTCCTCTATTAGCATAAATTCCATCATCAACTTCTCCACCTCAGTGGATAAAGCTCGGATATTACCTGTTAAATAAACTCCTAGCTATTTAAATTGTCATTTAGACTTGTAACAAAAGTCTATTAGCATTTTCTTCCATATGACTCTAAAAGTTATAAATAAAGCTACCAGAAGTAGTCCACCTAAATAATTCTGTATTTAAAGGGAGATCTTTAATACCTGTAAAAATTAAACATTCATTACTACTTAAGTAAAGGGGCACCTGAGGAAAATAATTTCATGGAAAAAAACTCCCTGGAGATTATTAGTTCACTAAAAAAAAAAAAAAAAAGCTTATGTTTGAGACTAAAGCTGGTAGTAAAGAGACAGAAATATTAAAAACATGGTAACAGCTTTGATCACAGGATGCTTTAAGAACCAGCCTTATAAAATCTGCTGTGACACTGCATATACATATTTTAAAAGATAAATGCTATTAATAAAGCTTTTAAAAAAGGGAAACGCTTTGCTTTACCACAGAATGGCCTGACTATGTTGATCAGGTAATTTAGAGAGTAATATATAACTCAACTCAGTTAACTCTGGGTCACCTGGTCTACATATCAGCAACCTGGTTTTTCTCCATTTGTGACTTCCTAGACTAATCTGTATTTTATCCTGTCCTGACTTTTTATTATACTTACATTTTGCTAACTTATCATGTGGGTTTCCTATAAAATTATCTCAAGTACCTTATGGAATAGACAAAAGTGGTAATGGAGATCACTCATATAGAAAAATATCATTTTATAGTTTTCTCAAGTTGGCACCAATGCTATATGGACCAAGCAAACAAAAAATGTTGATAGCATATTTTTAAATGTACTATAAAATATTTTTTTACATGAGATTCAACATAAGTAGAATACTATTCTTTTGTCTTTTCCCCTATTGCTGTGTGCCATCTAGTTGATTCAGAGCCATAGCAACCCTATAGAACAGTGCAGGACAGCGCCATAGGGGCTTCTTGGCTGTCATCTTTATGGGAGCAGGCTACCATGTGCGTTCTGCTGTGGAACAGCTGCTGACCTTCTGGTTAACAGCCGAGCTCTTAACCACTGCATGAATAGACAGCAGCCACCCAAAGTCTTCCTTCAACAAATTGTACTTTTAGTATTATGATTAATATTACTACTAGTAGTAATAGTAGGAAAGACCAGCCTCTGGAAAAGGACATCATGCTTGGCAAAACCCACTGCTACTGAGTCGATTCTGACTCAAGGCAACCCAAAAGTGCAAGGTAGAAATGCTTCAGTGGGTTTCTGAGACTGTAACTGTTTGTGGGAGGAGAACGCTTCATCTTTCTCCCACGGACTGGCTGGTGATTTCGAACTTCTGACGTCTCCATCAGCAGCCCAATGCATAACCATGCCACCACTAGGGTGCCTGTGCTTGGTAAAGCGTCAGCGAAAGAGAGGAAGACCTTCAATGAGCTGGACGAGCACATGGCTGCAACAACAGGTTCAAACACCACCACCGTATGGGTGGCACAGCCCTAGGCAGTGTTTTCGTCTGTGGCACACAAGGTCGCTATGAATCAGAACGGACTAGATGGCACTTCACAACATGAGTCATAGTCAGCAATATTTGAATACCTTTAAAATTAACAACACATTCCTGTCTATTATCTCATTTAATCTATTAAAGATTGGAAAACAAAACTTCTACCTTTTGTGTTTCGGGATCTATTAACCAGTTCCAGGCACCAGTAGCTGTACAGACAGATACCACTATAAGAAGCACTGATGAAAGATAAACATGAAATTAGTAAACAAAACACTTTAAATCTATGATGATAGCACTAGCTCCTACTACGTGACAACCAATTATTAAATGGCAAATGCACTGAAAACATTATTTGGAAGATATTTACAATATAACAAATGATCTCTCTTTTTTAATCATTTTATTAGGGGCTCATACAACTCTTATCACAATCCACACATACATCAATTGTGTCAAGCACATTTGTACATATGTTGCCATCATTCTCAAAACACCTGCTTTCTACTTGAGCCCTTAGTATCAGCTCATTTTCCCCCTCCCTCCACGCTCCCCTCTTCCCTCGAACCCTTGATAATTTATAAATTATTATTTTGTCATATCTTACACTCTTGATGTCTCCCTTCACCCTATGGCCATATTGCAGATGAATGGAATAGTTTAAATAAGAATTGAATTCGACTGTTTTAGGATCTAGCTGTACTAGGATAATACTGATTTCTTCTACCTATTGCTATTGATATAATGCATGATCGAATGATTATTGGGAAGTATGAAGAGTTTGTAAGCCCACTGCCTTCAGCCATTAAATTGGTTCTGTTAAATGGGTATTGGAAATAATGCTTAGAAAGGTAAGCCCCACCCAGTGCCTTGAGTGCTTGGGACATTTGCATTTGAAAAGACTTGCTGAGAGCTTTTGCAAGACTTAAGGAAAAAAAGGAGCCATTTGCCGTTTTTTTGAATTTTGAACTGGCAGTTTAATTCTGAAACTGGAAAAATCTGGAGCCATGGAAGAATTCTCCTCTCTAGGATTGAACATTAAAGAGAGCCTGCAGGCAACCTGAAATGCTTGCTAGGTTTCCACCTGGATCCACTTGTTGAGTGGAAGTAGGAAAACACAGCAAGAAAGAGATGGGTTGAGTAGACCTGGTTCACAGGGACTAGAAGAGAGATGAGTGGGGTAGCTGGTCTGAAGTTTAAAAGAGTTGTGTGGAACCTGAGCATGACCTAGCCTAAGGGGGCTAGGGTTGTTGAGACTTTGTAAAGGCACCCGTGGTTGAAAGACAAGGCAGTCAACGGACACATTGGTGAGGCTAAGCAAGGCAGCCCACGTAGAGTTGACCAGATCCCTACCAGATGAAGATAAGATTTTTGAGCCTGCGAATTGGGTGTTCATTGCTGCTGACTTTATGGATGGCCTGTCTTGATTTGACTCTGCTTATGAATGGAGACTCACAAGATTCCAACTGGAATTTAGATTCTTCACATCAAAGAACATGCTTGTCTCCTCAAAGCACTGGGTTCATAGAAAAGGCAGCACAGAAATTAGATACCCACAGGGGACACAGGCGTGGCAGATAAAGGCATAAAGTGACTGGCTCACAAACTTTCATGGGTGGGGGAATGTATTGATGGGATTATGGTACTGTGGAGTACGTGTTCACACAACTGCTATTTTTAGGCACAGAATATTTTTGTTTTGTTCACTTATAGAATATTATGTTGAAATGGGGCTGGCACATTTTCAGTTTACATATTTTAGTTTTATCCTGTTAGGCACAAACATGATATTATTGTTTAAAAGTTATATATGGCAAAAAAATAATCTGTAACTTATCAAGGGTTCAGGAGGGAGGGCAGGTAGGGGAGGGAGGGGGAAGGAATGGGGAGCTGATATCAGGGGCTCAAGTGGGAAGAGAGTGCTTTGAAAATGATGGTAGGGGCACACTGGAGGAATGTACAGATTGTGATGAGAGATGTAAGAACCCCCAATAAAAGTTTTGTTTTTTTTAAAGTATGTATGGCTAAAGAGTTGTGTAAAGGTGGCAAGCTGACAAGGGGTAGTCTGTTGTAGTTACATAATTTCATGTCAACTTGAAGTTATATAAAAGTATAGGGGTGGTAATCAAACTGTCAATCAAGTCAGAACCTGATGGCTTGCATCTCTTTGTGGGTGTGGCTTTCTAACAAGGAGGGCTCTGGAAACCTTCCCTTCTCTCTCTGCCTTCACCTTCCTGCTGGAGGATGCTGGTTGCTGCCAGAACTCTGGAGATGTTACCACTGCCACTGGATCCACAAGAATACAACCTGCGATCTTCCTGTAATCTGCATGATGGTATCTGGCTGCGCGAGTCTGAAAAGGGACTTATGGACCAGTATCACACTTATGAACTTGAGTTGGGACTGGGCTGGGCGGTTTTCTCAATTAATAATTGCTTCTTGATATACAGCTCTGTCTTATGCATATATGAGTGTCTCTCAGTTTGTTTCTCTAGTTAATCCGGCCTAACACAGTCTATGTAACTATCAATGTGCTGACTTTTTGCAGATCTTATACATGCAAATGAAAACACAACAATACCTTCATTTTCTAATACAGATCAACCAAATAAAACGCACTGAGCACAATGACTCTAGGACCTGACTATGGACGCCAGCCTGTGACTGAATTTTTAAAAGATCAGTGTTAGGAAGTGTAGCAGTAGAGTCGGGTACACTAACAATATATCACTTTGGTACTGATTGCAGCAAGAGTGGGGTACACAACAATATCACATTAAGGTACTGAATGCAAGTTCAGAGTATAAATTATTAGTAGCAGACGTACAATACGTAAGCATGAATTATTTTAGAAATCCTAAAAAGCTTTCAATCAATAAATAAAGAGATCTTAAGTGAAGCATCAAGCATATCTGGCATTACTAGAAAATAATAAGGGGATCAAGACAGTTACTTGGCCTTCAATTGGGATATATAGCTTTTTAAAATGTAGAAATCAAGTTTAAATGTAGAACAACACATTATCTAGAATTCCTAGTACTAAATTTTTCAAAGTCCTAAGTCATAAAAAAACATTTATTTTAGTAACAAAATAAGAATTTCAAGATAATGTTCTGAGAACAAATTAAACTCAATTTCTTATAATTCTCTATTCACAAAAATACACTATTTTACACAGTTATTGCTAAAAACAGAATCAAAGGCAAAATTAAGATGCACTTAGAAGAACCCTCTTGGAAATGTCTTCGTTTATTTGATAGATACATTACCTTATTTTACGTCATTTACATATAAGCACTGAAACCATGAATCAGAGAAAAAAAATACAAGTACATTTATTGTATTACAATTTATAAGAAAGCATCATATACATTTCAAGAGATTCTAATGTAACTCTGAAGTAAAGGTTTTGCAGGGAGATCCCTAGTAAACCAGAAAATACAAGACAATATTCATCATGAATTGTGAGCAATAATTTGTGCCGTTGAGTTGGTTCCGATTCATAGCAGCCCTATGTACAACAGAAGGAAACACCACCATGTACATAATTGCTTCTTGTGTTTGAGCCCACTGTTGCAGCCAATTTGTCAATTTATCATGTTGGGGTTTCTTCTTTTTCTCTGCCCCTCTACTTTACCAGAAATCATGTCCTTTTCCAGGGGCTGGTCTCTCCTGCTAACATATCCAAAGTATGTGAGATGAAGTCTTGCAATCCTTGCTTCTAAGGAGTATTCTTGGCTGTAATTCTTCTAAGACAGGTTTACTTGTTCTTTTGGCAATCTATGGTACTTTCGATAGTCTTTGCTAGCACCAGAATTCAAATGCATCCATTCTATGATCTTCCTTACCCAATATCTAACTTTCACAGGAATATGAGGTGATTAAAATACGATGGCTTGGGTCAGGCACACTGTAGTCTTCAAAATAACATCTCTGTTGTTCAACACTTTAAAGAGGGTCCGTGCACTGATTTAGCCCAATGCAACGCGTCATTTGATCTCCTGACTACTGCTTCCATGAGCACTGTGGAGCCAAATAAGATGAAATTCTTGACAACTTCAATTCTTTCAACGTTAATCATGACATTACTTCTTAGTCCAGTTGTGAGGATTTCAGTTTTCTTAATTAGCACAGTACATAATTAGCACAATGCAATGACAACTTTATATAAGTTAGGAAAACTACACACACACACACAAATCTTAATATAAGAAAATATCCCTAACTTCAGTACTATTCTCAGGGGTCCACAAAGCAAATTACACTTCAAAATAAATTACATCTTCAATGTGCCCACTGTTATGCTCTATTTCCTTCTCTGATTAAATTTCAATATAGTAAGTTCCCCACCTAGGAAACCCTCCACCACCCCAAAAAAACCACTGCCACCAAGTAGATTCTTACCCATAACGACCCTACATAAGGTTCCCAAGGCTTCGGAAATTCTGACAAGAGCAGGCATCCCCTTCAAAGATTGTGGTGAGAACTGCAGATTTTGTGGTTAGCTGTCCTTCACTTACTCAAAAGCACCAGCAGGGCTCCTAACAGTGAAGTCCCAGGGTCTTTTAAATCCAAATTTGTAGACAATTCATGCTTGCCCTGTTACATAAATTTTCCCTCATCTTGAAAAGATCAAACTAACCACTACTTCGCTCTTAAGAAATTCATCACCTTCACCTTTCAATGCTTCACATGCACCTTGGAGCCATTCCATGCACTAAGCCCACAGTCCTTTAGTAAATTCCAACTCAGAGAGACTCCAAGGAAGTCCCACAGGGTTTCCAACATTGTAAATCTTTATGGACGCTGATTACCACACCTTTCTCCCAGCTCTTACACGAAAAGCTAAGTAAAAACTGACACCTACAAATTCAGCTTAAAGATACACGTAGGAACAGATCTCATTTGTAACTAACCTTGGGGTTGCTTAAAATTCCCATCTAAGAAATTAGGAGTGGTCCCAATATAGATGTATTAGGAGAAGCATTTATTTGCTGATGCAACTACTTATATGTGTACTTAGATGAGGCACTAATTCTTTCAAACTATATTTTGCAGTTTACCTTTCATATAGGATTCTGATAGTATGTATGAAAAAACAGTCATAATGTGAATCTTCAAACACCCCCGCCCCCAAAGGTCAGCTTCCAAAGCAACACAATTATGATTTGTTAAAAATCAATTTAGAGGAATTTTTTCAATTCATAACCATTGCAAATACATTGTAAATTTAAAATATGATTTTTTTGTACTAAGATTTCATTTAAGTAGCAGGTAGGCAAACAAAAATGGCTAAATAAATGATTGAAATTTTTAGTTTGTTCTTATCAAAGCTCTAATGTTCATTTAATATCAATGTATTTTAATAAAAATATAAAAATTCAGCTACACAAAATAAGACTGTTTTAAATGGATCACCCATCATGATTTTTATTAAAAATGGCCGTATAATGCATAACTTATGAAAAGCTTTTAAAGTGTCAATAAAAAGTAAATCTCATGGTTCCGTGAGATCTTAAATACAAGGATTTATTAGTGCAAAGTTTACATAAAGGCAAATCATTCCTAGGCGGGAATTAAGGTAAACATTCTAAGGAACTTACTTCTCCATCGTCCAGTGGCAGGTTGCAAGCAATGTATGTATTCAGTCAGTCTTCTCTCAAAAGCCTTGAGATCTATGCAAAAAGATTCCAAGTCCTAATTAGCACCCTTACTAAGTTAAGTCTATAAAGCTGAAATTCTAGAGACTCAGATTTCTTCAGTTCTTACACTCCAACTTACATGTATCACAACTTTAAGCACTTGATAGACTAGGCTTCCTTTTTAATTTTACATATAAGGAAACTGGCTGGTTCACTTTGAGACGGTTCTTAAAATGGTATGTGGAAAATTAGCAGCAGCCTCAGTTGGGTCAAAAGCTAGATTCGGAGGTGGAGAGTGTTACAAAATAGAAAGATCAAAATCAGATCAAGCTTTAATCGCATCCCCCACCAGCACCACCACCGACCTTTAATTCTGTTGGAGCCAAGACCTTTCTTTAGATAGAACGTTTTATCTAATAGATCTGATCGAATAGGTTACAGAACCCTAAAACGCTGGAAGACGAGGCCCCCCCGGTGGTCTAACGGTCAGCAGTACGAAACCTTCCAAGATGAGGCTTTCTACTCCCTGAAGAGTTAGTCTTGGAAACTCACAGACAGTTCTGATGGCAGTGATGTGGTTTGTTTGGTTTTTGGTTTATACTTAATTAATAATTCCAATTGCTGTCTGATCTTCCTGGCCTTGTTGGTACTGCTGAGGTCTCCTTCGAAGGGGTGTGGAAAGACATTCCCTACTTCACGGCTTACAGGTGAGCTTCCTGGCACTATCGAAATACCGACACCCTGTTCTAAAGAAACCTGGAGCATCGGAATGAGCAAGCCAAGGTAACGTTTCCACAGCCACATTCCTTAAAAGGAGACCTCGGGGCACCTCTATCGCGGCAGGACTCGACAAGCAACGTCAGCAACGCCTGTGACTACGAGAACAAAATAAAGGATACAGTGAACAACATCCGTATAATGCTCGGGGGGCAAGCAGGTGTGAATAAAAGAGTTCCTCGACTTAAGCTGAGTTACAGGCGGGGGACTGACGCTCGACCCCAGAGCCGGCGGCGTCGGGGTCCCGCTGTCCCGGAGCCCCACACGGTGCCCCCACCCCGAGGCTCTGTCACCCCAACATCCCAGCCTCTTCTTCCCGGGGCGAGGTCTTCGCGGGTCTACTCCCTGGACTGTTCCCTCCGCCATTCTCGAGGAGACTCGGGGCGGGCAGCCAGGTGACCCTCCCTACCTTCCGCCTGTTCCAGTGAGTTCATGTCGGGAGACAGGTATGGTCACGGTCACGGTCACGGCCTCCGCCCCCCCCGCATCACACCTCCACAGCCCCTTCCTGGCCTCGGCGCCAACTCCCAAACCCAACAGCCCCACTATGACCCTCCTCAGTGGACCGCCCCTTGCCTAGATCCGCCACTTTCATTGGGCACGTCTGAAAAAAACCCCACCCCAAACCAAGGCAGCTTCTTATTGGTTAACTCGAGCACCGGCTTCAGCACCCAGCGTCCGACGGGAAGCCGCAGGAACCAAGAACTAGCTGCTGCGGCCGTGACGGAACACGTTCGCCCCCTCCCGCCCGGGAGTGGAACTGCGGCCTGCTATGCCCAATTCATTCTTTTCATTTCTCAAAATAATTTGTTGAGAGAGTCCTACTCTAAAGCAATGTAAGGTCTAATACGGGAAACAAAATACGTACAGGCTATGTGCTAAATAGGACTCAAAGTAATGGGCTTTCTTTTTAATAAGCATCCGTTTCCTACTTACCGAACTCCTTAAGTGCATTTCCCCCTTGATCTCTTTAGCGTGCAACCTACCTTTCATAAATCCTGACAAAGGTAAACAATATATGTGCCCAAATAGCCACTACTCAAAAACAGACAACCTTTTAAGCTCCTCAAAAAGTTAAACTTCCTTGTGGTCTCCATACTGTGTAAACTGCGATTTTCCTCCTCCTCTGGATGAGTTTCTTTGTTTTGTCTTAGTTAAGGCTTAATAAAAGCGTCTCTACAGGATATGTCTGAATTGGAGCTTATTTTTCCCCCAGCCAAAGATGGAGGGTGGGATCTAAAGATGTCTTCCTCCTTGGACCCCCCCAAGGTTGATGACAGGGATTTCTTGTACCTCACCATTTTCCATGGGCCTTAGGAAACCCATGGGGGTAAACAGTCTTGGGTTTTGAACCCTGTGTTTTGGTGTGGCTCTACAAGACACTTAGTAACTTTGCTCTGTGTTGTTTTCATTTGAGCACAGCTCATTCTTTCTGTCAATTGACCAGTGAGACAGGGCAAGCATGGGGAGCAAAGGTGATTTGGACAGAGCATTTGTGAAGTACATGACAACATCTTGGGACTGCATTTTCCAGAACCCCTGGGAAGTTCCTGAGCATCTCATGCTGGGGAGCCTTAAAAAATGCTTGGTATGCATGGAGGCGAGGGGGAAAGAACTACAGAGGCTAAGATTTTCTTCCTTCTGGAAGTCTTTAAATAAAAATTTCCTGTGATACCATATGTATTCCAAAAGTACATCTCTGTCTTGGTAACACACGACATATTTGGCAAGCTTCACTGAGAGAAAGAGGGACACGAGGTCCATAAAAAAGCATGGTCCTTGGCCGTGATCGGATGGAACTAAAGACTTACCCAGGAGACCGCCAGAATTCCTTGAAATGCTGCATCTTCTCAGCCTCTCTTGTGAGAGAACCCTTGCTAGAGAATTTGTCTTCTCCTTTAACTTTTGGCTTGAGGCTTATCAATTTATTGCGTGGGGTTTAGGACCTCCCCCTAGCAGACCTCTATAAAGTCTGATTAACAAGCAAAAACAAATTCACTGCCACGGAGTCAATGCTGACTCCCGGTGACCCCCTGTGGGTTTCTGAGACTAGCTGTGTATGAGAGTAGAAGTGCCCCCATGCAGGGCGGATGGCAGCCCCACTCATATACACTGCACTACCAGGGCTCCTAAAGTCTGATTAGGATGGAACTATTTTTCTGTCACCCTAGGCCTAAGGAGGAACAAGTGGTGAGCATGGTCTGTCTAATTTCCCCCCAAAATGTGGGCATGTTCCTTTACCCAAGAAGACACCCAATAGGATTCCACATGTGCTTCCTCCCCAGAAGTAAGCCCCCATTTTGAAAATTCTTTCTGGCTTTTAGAAATATTGTCTAGATTTTTTCTTCCTCTGTTAGCAAATAACTTCATGTTTTTTAATAGGACAACCCTCACATTTCTTTGAATTGGTAAAATAATGTTAGGTTATGGAATGATTTTCCTCCAGTCTTGCTTCTTGAAGCAGAAAGAATTCACAAAGCAGAACACAATAACAAGTTAATGTAAGCATTGATGCATTAAAGCATACTTTTTTTTACTTATTTTTAAAGGTTTGACCAAAAAAGAGTACGTTTATTGAAGCAGGATACTTTAGAGAAGAAATCCAAAGGCCTAACATGTTTTTGTAGTGCATATTCTCAGAGACGGTGACAGAGCAATTCCAGAGAGGGAGGCAGGCGACCATACAAGGAAAGAATCGGGCTTCCTCCCTGACTGGTGAGGGTGTTGGGATGGGCTCCCCTGGTTCTGGCTTCTCAATGCTGAGAGAACTCAATGCACTTTGTAAGTCCAAGTAACTTCGAGGAGAGAAAAGGAAGCTTCAGGTCACACAGTCTCAGTACACGCTATCCCTGGAAAGCGTGCAAGACCACATGGGGAACCATATGAGAGTCTGAGACGGAAAATGGCCACTTCTAGGGAATGCAAAAAAAAAAAAAAAAAACACGTGGAAAATGGCTGGAAAGGACAGACCCAGGAACCAAAAGAGGAGAATTGAGCCGAAAAGAGTGAGTTCCTGCCCTCTGTTTCTACTTTTTATTCCTTCCTCCCTCCACTTGCAGGGAATGGTTGTGTGCAGGATATTAATCATTTCTTAGTGGCTGCATTTAGGTGCATGTGTGATGTAGTGTTGCTGGTTTCTAGTACACATCCCCCAAACCTAACATGTGCATGTAACTTAAAAAAAAAAAAAATTTGTTATAATTTAGGTCTGGGGCAAAGCTATTATCCTCAGGATGCTAAAGAAATCTAATCATTAGGGTGCCTGTCTTTTTAAAACATCCCCTAGGTAATCAAGCGGCCATCAAGCTCAGAAGCAACAAAGCCCACATGGAAGAAGCACACCAGCCTATGCAACCACGAGGTGTCAAAGGGATCAGGTGTAAGGCATCATCAGAACAAAAATTCTTACCATAGTGAATGATGGGGGGAGTGCGGAGTGGAGATCCAAAGCCCATTAGTAGGCCACTGGAGATCCCCTTGCAGAGGGGTCTCGGGGAGGAGATGAGCCAGTCAGGGTGCGATGTAACAATGATGAGAAATACAACTTTCCTCTAGTTCCTAAATGTTTCCTCCCCACCCCCACTACCATGACTCGAATTCAATCTTGCAAGTCTGGCTAGACCAGAGGAGATACACTGGTATAGATAGGAACTGAAAATACAGGGAATCCAGGACGGATGAGCCCTATAGGACCAGTGGTGTGAGTGGCAAAACAGGGAGGGTAAAGGGAGAATGGGTAGGAAAGAGGGAACCGATTACATGGAAATGTGTGTGACCTCCTCCCTGGGGGACAGACAGCCGAAAGATGGGTGAGGGGAGACGTCGGACAGGGCAAGATATGACAAAATACCCATTTATAAACTATCGAGGGCTCATGAGGGAGAGGGGAGCAGGGAGGGAGGGGAAAAATGAGGACCTAATGTCGGGGGTTTAAATGGAGAGAAAATGTTTTGAGAAACGATGTACAAATGCGCTTTACACAATTGATGTGTGTATGGATTGGGATAACAGTTGTATGAGCCCCTAATAAAATGTTAATAATAAAAAAAATCCCCTAGGAGCCCTAATAGCTTAGTAACTAAGTAAGAGTTAGGCTGCTGACAGCAGTTCAGGACCACCAGCCCCTCCGTGGAAGAAAGATGAGGCTTTCTGCCTCCGTAAGGATTTGCAAGTCTGCCTGGCCCTACGATGTTGTTGTGGCGGATCAGACTTGGTGTTAGTAGCCAGAAGCTACTATGAAAGAAATGTGGGATTATATCTCAGGTTACTTCCTGAGTTGTACGAGTTATACTAGCCCCCAATAAAATGATTAAATAAAAATAGGAAAAAGAAAAGCAAAAGGAAATAAGTCCAGCCATCCTATGGAGCTCTTTCTCGCTCTAATAAATTTAGAGAAAACAGCGGGGAGTAGGCTGCCCACAAAGTTAGTAGAACTTTGCCTGTTTGTCATTAAACAAGCTCTTTATAGATTAGGGGAGATTAAATACTTCTTTGATTTTTTTTAAAAGCTGAAATGCCTCGTGCAGGCATAAACAAGGATATTTGAAAATCTTCTGAAGTCATTAGACTCAGGTAACTTAGGTCTATCATATATTTGCCAATTCTTGTTATAATCTTTGCCTCTCATCTTCTGCCCTAGTCTTCAAGTTATGTTTGCTTAATAGATAAATTTGAAAAATCTAAAATGCTGCAAAATTATTGGCATAAAATCTTAGGTTTGCCTTTCTCACTTAGAGAAGACTAAGTTCCTGCTTGGTGGCCAAACCAGCTAGAGGACTGAACCTGGAATTTACACGCTCTACTTAATCAACCACCAATTACCCTCCCCTCTGATGGGTAACTCGCCAGCAGGTGCAATGTTATTATTCCCACCTGTGCTAATTGCTATATCTCTTTAGATCTAAAATTATATGAACTATCTTTTACTTTTTAGGGGGATAGATGCTTAGATTAAGAATGCTTCTGTTGGATTGTCAAAATCCATGGCACATGCTGATCATCGAATGCAGTGTCATATTTGCCACAAAACTCCCAATTTTATTTCTGCCCCACTATACATTTTTAAAAGTTCTTACCTAATGCAACTAAGGTTAAATTATGGACTCCTTTTCAGTAACCTCACTATCTCTCACCTCTTGTGTTAACCCCACTCTGAGTCCAGTTAAATAATTATGTGACATCCAGTCACTAAAACAATATCCTCACTTGTGACGCCAGGTCCCAAAACAATATCCTTACTTGGCTTTCCAGTAAGATACATGTTTTGTAGCAAAGTACAACGTTTGTCCTTGAGATTTAGATAATACCAAAAAAGTTGTGACAGACTAGTTGAAGCTACAGCATTACACGTTGTAAAATAAAAAAGGAATACCCCTTAGTCCGTTGGGATTGATCATTTATGGAAGCTTTACTCCCTAGTTGTGTTATACTTGAATTGGAATAGTCTTCAAACAAACTTATCAAACATCATGGGACAAATAGCAGACAAGGTACTGAAGGATGGGAATATAGTAGCAATG